ATATGTAAAGTACCTATTGAATACAGCGGTTTTCCTGTAAATTTCGAGATGAAAATTTTTAGGAATTGTGTTTTCTCACACCGTATTGTAATCAATATACATATTCAATTTTGCTGTATATTTTTTTCGTATGCGGAATCTACCAAAGCCATTTGACGTTGTATAGACTCTTAACGATTGGTGACTTATAATTAGGAATTTCAAAATGGTGAATATAGCTTTGACAAAAAAAATATGCATTAAATGCTACTTGTAGTGACTGTACAATTTGCCATACAAAATTGCAAAATATTTAACGCGTTCGCTAGGTGTCATTGTAACTCATGGTAGAGGCACTGTCATTATTTTTTTAATATATCCTGTCATTTCTCATAAAATTGATAGTCATAATGTATGGTATTCTTGTAGCGTATTGTTTCTCATAACGCGATTGTTTAAAGAATTATGTGATTTTTCACAACAGGTCAAATTTAATTGGATAGGTTAGGTTAGATATAATTCAATGTAAAAAGATAATGCACAAAACGTCCAGAAGACGAAAATATGAATTATTTGTTACACATACTCCTACATAAATAAAATATTGTTTCTCATAATGATTTATTATGAGAAACCATTATGTTATGTAACACTAAGAATTTTATGAGGAACTGTACAGTAAAGTTTTTCTATAGGGCACAGGTACCATAACCACTATTCTATTATGTGAAAATAAATGGAATTTTCAAATTAAAATAACATTATGATACTTTTTTTGACGTAATCAAATGCACTTCGTTCTCTATTCCAACAATTTATCGATTACGATTTACCACAGTTCGTTAGTGTAGCTCAGTAACTACAGATCAAGTCACTCAGTTGGTTAAGAGCGGTGGCCCCGGCATAGCAATAGACGCTGGTTCGCGTACAGTCAGATCGAAGGCTTTTTTTGTGTCTGTTCGATCTTTGTATAATAACAAAGTACTGAAATATTTTCACAAAAAAGATATAACTGGGCAAGGTTCTCGTCTAAGAAAAAGAATGTTTATAAGTGCCATAAAAAGCTTTCTTTCTTTTAAACTGACTTCAAAAAAATTAGGTGGTGGTGGTCTTAATTGGACTATATTGTTTTGTATGTACCGATATTACGCGATAATTCAAAATTTGTGAACAGATTTTGATGATTTTTTTTTTTGTTGGAAAAAAGGTACCACTGAGGTACCCATTGGTCCCATTCAAATTTGACAAAAATATTTCACCTCCGATTCCAGTAAAACTTGGCAAATAGATGTAATTCCATGAACTTTAGAGTTCAGTTTATTGCGGTAATTTAGCGTCACGCCTGTCCCTAGCAGTTGCTGAGCCAATCAGAGTTTTAAAGCTCAAAGATCTGAGGAACACTGCCACTGCGCTTGTCATCCTGAGACATAAGTTGGCGAGTCCCAAGTACCAGTAATTTCACCAGCGCCCTTGCCCTTCAAAACTAGAACGCAGTAATGTTCACGATACTGCGTGGCGGCAGAAATAGGAGAAATATCAGTACTTCCCTGGATGAACTCTTTTACAAGGTACTCTACTGCTACTAAAGGCTATTGTTAAGTGTTTAAGATCTGGTATATTATTAAGTAACTTTCAAGTTGACTTTGCATATGTATTACACGGTCAAAGTACTTAACTCGTATAAAAGCTTAATTCAATCAATCTACACTAGCGGTTTTCTCACTAAACAAAGTTGCGCAGTGTCTGATGACATTCCACTAAGATGAGTTCACGCGAGTTAATGCAATTTCAACTATTCGCACATACCTACATTGCAGGTTTTGTTAATACGCAAATAAACTAATCATTACGCTCTTGAGTACGGGAGATGAAGTAAAGACATTCCTTCATATTGTCTTTAACCTGTTTTACATACTTTTATACAAAAAATAATTTGGACTAGATAGAACATTTTTTTTCGTGATACCAAGTAACGGTATATATTTACTCCGTGGCCGAACGATTACCATGCCGGACTGCCAAGCAGAGGTCCCAGGTTCGATTCCCGGCCCGGGAGAAATATTTGTATGGCCTAAATTGGTTTCTCTCGTCAGTTTGGGTGTAATTTGTATTTGTCTATATACGTGTCCATGGCACCCGCTAAACAGGGTTTCCCTAGTGAGTGTGAGTGTGTGCGTTGTTATATTATTATTTTATAATTGTGCTAACGTTGCTCTACCTCCAACAATGGGGTAAAAGGAACAGTAATCGTATTTCTTATAAAAGTAATGTACATACCTTGTGTTCTCAAGATTTCAAAATTGTCCAATTTGTTTTTACCGTCTATTGGATTTGGAGCAACGTAGTGACATCTTTTTGAAATCATTGGAACTACTTTGTTTTTCTGTTTTATCGACGGAGAGACTATAACACTAAACTCTTTAAACTATGAGTTAACGCATCAAGACCCTCTTCCCCTGTTGTTCCTCTTACCCCTCCTGACCCTACCCATATCGGACAAGCTTACTTCTCCGATAGTGGAGCAAGTTAAGTATTCAGCCTGCATCGGCTCAGTGTGGTAAACTAATGATTACATAAACTCTCACCTTAGAGGAGATCCGTGCTCGCCAGTGAACTGTAATTGATGACAATTCTAAACTTACATATATATATTTATACGGTACTAAAACGTTACATATACTTTCTAAGACTAAAAACTTATACCAAGAAATTCGAAAACTTCTCGTAAATTTCGTAATGCCGTCGGAGCAAGTGGGCAGTGTAGCGGGTTCGGTTCCTGACAGTGACACACGACAGGTCGTGACTATTGCAACGCCTGAACAATGGACCTGGTAGTGGAATAGTAGTTTGATAATTGTTAGCGGAACGATCTTTAAAATGCACTAAATTTACTTTTGATTTCATGGTGTTGATCCATTGATATGGGTATATTGTAGGCAATGTGGGACTATAATCAGATAAAAACTTGATATATTTTTATAAAACACTTTTGAACAACAAAAGCGATCATTCAAATGAAAAGTCTGTAAATTATAATATTTTTAATCTGTTATGTAAATATCAACCACACCACGTGACGTCATATTTAGGTAAACAAAGAAACGTCACCGCACTGACCGTTCTCGTGTAATATTGTGTTTTTTTCAGTTTAAATACTTTGACTAACAACTGTGATTTGTGTTTGAAGACAGTAATTAATCAATACGTAAACTTCTCGCAAGCGGCAAATGCACATTGATCAGTTTGTTTACCGACCAATGACGTCATACGTTATGAAATAACAAGCGATACCATTTTCGTGACTTTTTAAAATTGTATTTGAACACAGTTTCAGGGATTTCAGCAGCTTTATTAAAATAAAAAAAAATTTCTCGGCTGAATACATCCATTATGTTTAATTTTCTTCTGAAAAGTTGTTCTAGAATAATTTGCGTGAAAATTGAAGCCTAAGACGATAGACCAATCATACCAGTCCATTAAAGTAATATATTAGATATGTTCATAAAACGTT